TTTTTTTTTTTTTTTTATTGGATCGTTTCTTATCGTTGAGTTTTAAGACAGAAAAACTCTTCAGAATACAAAATATATTCCATATGTATTAAACAGTAATTCTGTCTAGTGTAGCTGGAGTAGGCTCAGGAACCTGTACTCCCTCTGATGAAACTAAAACAGGCATCTAAGGGCCAGAATTTTGGGATGTGCAGCCCTGTTTCATAGAAAAATTAGCTCGAGTAGGTGAGTTTTTAATAAAAATTTGTTTTAATCCATGAGTATTTAATAATGTAATAGGTCTAATGATCCATCTAATGAGCAGGGGGGATGTACTGTCCCCCCAGTGCCTCCAACACCACCACCAATTTGTCACATGAAATCCATTCCTTCCACTCAGGAAAGAAAGGCAGTTCATACAAAAGGACGTATGTAAAACCTAACGTAAACTAAATAAAAATTGATTTTGCGATTTAGCCCCCGTTTGGGGTCGTCTATGCTGACTCTCCACTTTGTTAATTCATACAATCAAGAAGCAACTCTACTTGCAATCGGCTGTGTACATACTGATGTCTAAATATGCTCAAATATGTGTACGATGCCTGAGGTTGACTAGAGGCTGACCTGCCCAAAATCGATCCTGATTTTGATGTCATCTGTGTAAAACCACAAACAGGCTTCCCTTAGATGGGCAACTTGTATCTTCCTTATATAAATCCGTGGAGTGCTTGATGTGATAAATCATTACTTCGGGGCTCTCACACCACAGATTCCAGAACTTGAGACTTGCAAATATTTAATGTTATTGTTTGGAAACCTCAGTTCAGAAAGTGGTAATATGTCACACAGTGTAATCTACATTGCTTGTGCCAGTAACATATCCTTTAGGGAGGGAAGTTGAAAGTGAAGAGTACTATTCAGGAGGAAACTATGGCTAAAGCTTCAAAACTTTTATGGGGTTGTGTGGAGCAGACTCTGGGCCAGTACAATCACCTGATGTGGCTCCTTGTAGGGACCAGTTTGGTCATTTACTAACATAAGAATTCTTAGGAGACAATTATTCTGAGTGTAGCTCAGTACCTCACTTTCACACATGAACAAAAATAGCCCCAGTGGCCCTCGCCAATCTCACTTGTTGGGGGGATTCTCCCTATGAAAGAGGCACAGATTTCATTCCTGCAGCACCGGCATATCTCAAGGAACTTCTGCGTTCATGCCATAATCAGGTGCCATCACATCTCTCGGACCCGGCAGTTTAAGGGGCGTGAGCATCATAGAAACTTCTTTCACTTGGTTCCTCTTGGTCTCTGTGTCTACTTAATAATCGTTCAGGCTGCCCTTTTCTCAACACATAGCTCTCATTGCCTGCCTGCTGTGTGTATGGCTGGGCTAGAAGGTGTGGGAGCCACACCAGAAACAGACATGGTGTGAGAGGTCAGACATGGTGTGGAGACGAGGTCTACTCACCTTGAACAAGGACATGACCATGAAAGGCAACATCATCCAGCCCATGTGGATGAGTAATGCAGGCATTCAAGCACTCCAGGGCAGAGGTCTCCAGAGCAGGCGCTTCAGGGAGTGTGTTTGGGCAGGGGTGCGTACTGGCAGTCCATTGGGGTATGGGAAGAAGGTTTTAGAACTTCCATTTATGTTAACTTTTTTTAAAAATGTTTATTCTTAGAGAGCAATCAGGGGAAGGGCAGAGAGAAAGGGAGACACAGAATCTGAAGCAGGTTCCAGGTCCAAGCCATCAGAAAAGAGCTTGACACGGGGCTCGAACCCACAAACCGCGAGATCATGACCTGAGCCAAAGTTGGATGCTTAACCAACTGAGCCACCCAGGCACCCTAACAAAGCTTAATTTTTTTTTTATTTTTAAAAGTTAATATAACCCAAGAATAAATAAACATTAAAAATATTTTTAAAAATTAAGCTTTGTTGACATTTAGCATACAGACTGGAATGGGTACCCATGCGGTGTGCACGGGAGAAATGAGTCACGTGCCTGGGTTGGATTGGGTAGGTGATCCCCAGGGGGAGTGTGAGGGGAAACACCACTACCCGGGCATCTGGCAGCCCACCCACCCTCACAGCCCGGCTTCTGCACTTCTTGCCTCTTGTGAGGCTATGCTGAGTTCCCTGTACCCAGATCAGAGGATGTAGGATGGTCTGATTTTAACTAACACAACACTCCTGGCCCCCATAATGGACAAAGGACTTAAAAAGATTCCACAAAGGACTGCGGGTTGAAAGCAAGAAGAAGAGCATAAGCGTAAGTCAACAGTAAGAAAAAGGCAGTCTGGCCTCTCTTGCTCCTGGTGTGAGTTTTTATTAACCACATCATAGGGTAATTGGGCTGCAATCGGCCAAAAAAAATTAGATGTTATCAAATTGGACCCTTGAAATAAATTAGCTGCCCTTAACATTGATGACTATGCCCTAAGAGCCATGTGTGTCTTCAGATATTAAAGCTAGTGCCTACATATAATGCATAAGCAAATATATGGGCATGTGTTGGGAAGATGTGCTCTCGTATGTCTACCTGAGAAGAGGATGCCTTCAAAAAAGTTTAATAGTTGGGGTGCCTGGGCGGCTCAGTCAGTTAAGCATCTGACTTTGGCTCAGGTCATGATAACGTGGCCAGTGAGTTCAAGTGCCGCATCAGGCTTTGTGCTGACAGCTCGGAGCCTGGAGCCTGATTTGGATTCTGTGTCTCCCTCTCTCTCTGCCCCTCCCCAGCTCACGCTCTGTTTTGTCTGTCTCTCAAAAATGAATAAACGTTAAAAAAAACTTTTTTTAATAAAAAAGAAAAGCTTAATTACTTCTTTGAGGGAAAAGAAAGGGAAAATTGACTCTGATAGATACGGTAATTGGGGAAGAGATATACATGTATAGGTGTGTGTGTGTATATATATATACACACACACACACACACACACACCTATATATATATATATATATATATACATATATACACACCTATACATATATATATTTGAGATATATATATATATATGCCTATACATATATATATTTAAGTTACTTATTTTGAGAGAGACAGCATGAGGAGGAGAGGGATAGATAGAAAGAGAGAGAGAGAGAGAATCCCAAGCGGGCTCCACACTGCCTGCTGCAGAGCCAGAGGCGGGGCTCGAACCCACGAACCATGAGATCATGACCCAAGCTGAAACTGAGAGACGCTTAACCGACTGGGCCACCCAGGCACCACTGGGAAGATACTTTTTAAAACCCTTAAGGTAGAATAAGAATTTTTAGAAAAGAGGCACTAAGAGTAACCCCCCCACCCCAACCCCAGGCCTAGAGAAAAGTATAAAGTCAAACAAAACAGCTTGGAGTTGTCTGAGCAGGTACAGGGAGCAAACGTCAAATATAGTTGTGAAGCTTATGACGGTGATTATGATCATGTGTATCAGAGCAGCTTCTGCTCTTAGGTACCCCCTAAGGGTGCAGGGGAGGAGGGTGAGGGAGACTTCCCCTCTTAGATCAGCTGTTGGATCCTTGGGATGGGCTCACTTCTCTGCTGACCTGAATGCTGCAGGAGTATTTGGTTTCCCTGTCTGCATGGTGTCATCATATGTGCCTCCCGCTTCCCAAAGTCCCTCCCCTCCAGTGCTTAGCAGTAGCTAAGTGGTGGGAAGGGAGTTGAGGGATCTGTCCCTATATCTGTATCTGCTGCTCCCTAACGCACTTTAAAGCAAGTGGTGGCCATCCCTACTGGCAGAGTAGCCTTGGATGGCCTTGGTCATCCTTAGCATAGAGCTGGAAAGAGTGACCTCTGTCTCCAGTCCTAACTCTACCATTAAATACCCTTGTCATTTTGAACCAGACTGTCAACTTTTCTGATGCTCAGGTTCTGTATAAAATGCAGACACAACATGTAACCCTCTCCTAGAGCTCTCGTATTTTGAAATAAGTGAAGGCATCACGATCTCGCGGTCCGTGAGTTCGAGCCCCGCGTCAGGCT